TTTAAACTAAATATGTTTAGTAATTTTGATTAAAATTTCAAACTTGTGTTTGCATTTAAACACAAACAACACATAGTCTTTTAGTCTATTGACTCACATTGTAAAAGCTAATCCTCTACATACGTGTTTTGCTCCCCCCCAAAAAAAAAATTTCTGTGGGTGCCCATGGTTACCAAGTAGGTTATCATTCAAAGTTGTATATTACCTAAATTTCATTTCTTTATCTCATAAAAGAAACATCCAAAACAACAACTAAAAATTCAGTTTTTGCTATCACGTGATCTAATCAGGGTTACAATTTCTCAACTTTAAGAGCTGGTAGAGAAGAAACTATGTTTGGATTGCAGAAATTGACTGCAGAAGGCCAAAGTATACAATACAATTGTTTTACATTACTTTATCAAGCACTTTCAAAGAATTTTTCCCCTCAACAAACTATTGTAAATACTTTCTTAGTTTGAGATCAGCCACACTCACATGTAAAGTCAAAGCTATGTGACAATTAGAAGTTGAATGGCATGCTTATAACCAATAGAAAGAGCAGCTATCACTCTTCACTGTTGTTACTGCAACAGTAAACATATGTGTATGCTTTTATTTTCAAACTGGGTAAAATAAAGATACGTCCATAGTTCCCTTGAGGTATCCATAGCACTTATATGTATTAGTTTGATAGACAGATTGCATTTAGGTTTTACTTTTATATTTTAATTAATTATGTATTATTTGTTTTTTGAAATGCATATTTAAAAGACTGAATGATTTTTATAAGTTAAACTTGTAGTATGAATTGTGAAAGTGTAAAAAGAACATGGAATCATTCTGCATGGGAGCTGCCAAATAATAATAATAAAGCCCCACAGGCACCAGTTGACATATTGGTATAAATTATAAAAGACAAAGGATTGGATAGGAAAATTAAAAATAAAGTAATAGTGAAAAGATAAAGATGTGAAATTATGCATAGGAAAAAAACAAAGTTGCAAACGAAATCTATAATGAGTTAAAAAGTATGTACATATTTACATATATTAATTTTAAACATCTCATTGCACTGTACATTAATGATAATAACTAGAATTAGTGATATTGTAAAGAAAATATTGGAAAATAAAATACAAACATTTACCTTAAAAACCTTTTAATATTCATTTAGAAGGTTCCAGAGATTATGTAAATGAAATGTGAAAACTGTAATATAATAAATAGTATTTTTATACCTTCCAGGTGAACTATTCAGAGTCCAAGTGCAAATAAGTACATTAAACAAAGGATTTTTTATTAGAAATAGTGGAAAAAATAAAATATTATATTTTTCAAAAACTACAAGCTTTTAAAAACGTTCTTGTCAAATTTTAAACAATTTCATCCAATAGTTTTATTTTTGAAATGAAATATGACAAGAGTGATGTTACTAGATGAATTTGTAGCAGGGTGTTATAGGGTTAAGTGAATATTGTTACTAATAACGTCTCATAGTTTGTAGAAAGTTGTAGGCCTCAGTTGGGCAATATGTATATAGGCAACCAAGTTAGTGCAAGTAAGATAAAGTTAGTGCGAGATATAGTGATATAGATCTAGAATGTGTTTGTAAGTTTAGCCATAAAGAGTTTATAGTGGCAACTTTTAAAGTGTAATAACTGCAGATCGTATTGTAATTACAGAGTAGTGAAGAATATTTCATCTTGTCAATTGTCTTCTAAAGTAACTTAACCAGGCTGTGTTGACTTTTGACCTAAAAGAGAATTATTTAAAACTCTGGATACAACTGTGGTAAACCACAGGGTAACACAAGTGAATTCATCACTGATTATATTGTAATAACAGAGTAGAGGAGAATAATTTGTCTTGTGAAAGGGGTGTTGTAAAGCAATTGAACCCACCTGTTTGGACTTTGTTAAAAAAGAGACAATTATTTAAAGCTCTGGATACAACTGTGATAATCAATAGTTTAATGAATGTTTTTGAACATCTGTTTGACTAGTTTTGAATATATTATTTTGAAACAAGTGGATTGTGTGCTGTTCATTTGTTGTTGAAATTTATTGCCAATTAGTCACAGAAACCTACTGTAAAGAATCATGGTGAGATATTGGAGAGCCAGCCAGGATTATACAGTGGTAAATGGCAGTAAAAGATGTGAAGATGACCAGAAACAGGATACCACCAAAGGTGACACAAACTCAATGGACAAGAGATGGACAATGGAGAAGAGATGCTATGTTTGTTATAAAATGGGGCATGTTATGAGTTAGTGCAAGTCTGTCATCAACAAGCAGCATCAGCAATCTCAATATAAAGCAGCTGGAGCTACCCATAAAGACCCAATTGTCACCAGAGGTGTTGCTGCCATAAGAAACAAAATAAAGATAACTTATCAAATTCACCACAAGATGGAAGTGCTATCTCCATGACTAAACAGTGCATGACTGATGGTCCACTCAAGTTAGCAAGTGGATCAACAGTGCCAGTAGTGTTTGGAGTATGCGACAAACATCAAGACGTGCAAACAAACCACATGTTAGTAGGTGAAGGCTATGTCGAGGACAAGAAAGTGAAGGTCCTATGAGACACAGTGAGAACCAGTCTAGTATCTGGTGACCAGATGACAGGCACTGTACATCTGTGGGTGCTGATTGATAGTACAGTGAAAAAGTTTCATATCGCAAAAATAAAGGTGGACATTCCATATTATATGGGAGACCTCAAGGCTATTTGTACAAAGGCACCCATCTATGACTTGATGATTGGAAATATACCAGGAAGTATAAGTTTGGGGGAAATAGACAGAAAGAAGACCGATGAAGCATCTGTAGTCAACACTAGAGCTCAAGTAATGAAAAGTATGCAAAACATCAAACCCCTTCAAGTCTCCAAAAGTGACAATCTGAATGCATGTCTACAAAAAATGAGGAAAACAGAAGAAAAACCCTTCACTACAGAAACTTTGGGACAGTGCCAGGGAGAAAGTGGAGCACAAGACCAAAGGAAAAGGGACTTACAGAACAGAGGACCATAAGGGAGTGCTGTACTGGATCTATCAAGGCAGTTATGCTTGGAAAATTAAACAGATCATAGTACCAACAGAATACCAGACTCAAGTGTTGAAGTAGGCTCACGAGTCGATTATGGGAGGACACCTAGAAACAAAGAAGATGGCAAACAGAATCACCAGCAACTTTCATTGGCCGAGGGTCATCAGAGATATGACCAGATTTTGCAGGTCATGTGACATCTGTCAAAGGACAATACCTAGAGGGAAGGTAGCCAAGGTGCCACTGGGTGAAATTCCTCTCATACAAGAGCCATTCAGCAGAGTAGTTGTGGACTTGATCAAACCATTAGCATCTGCTTCTGACAAGGGGAACCAGTATGTGCTGACAGTAGTCGACTATGTGACACATTATCCAGTAGCCATAGCATTGCCAAAGATAGAGAGGGAGAGAGTAGCAGAAGCCCTCCTAGAAATGTTCTGCAGAATAGGCTCTCCAGAGAAGTCCCAATGGAAGTACAGGATTTTCACCCTTTGAGTTGCTGTACGGAAGAACAGTAAGAGGTCCACATTAAATCTCAGAAAACAATTATATGCAGCTCAAGTAAGTCAGAGACACTTCTATGACATAAAGATCATGGATCGACATTTTCAAGGTTGGATAGAAGGTCTTGGTTCTGCTACTCACAGACAACAACAAACTTACCTTGCAGTGGAAAGGACCAGTGGAAAGTGCAGGAATTGGTAAAAAAAAAAAGGACTATAAAGTGAAATTGGAGGGGAAGATGGAATTCTACCATAACAATCTGTAGAACAGATACTTAGTCATAAAGCACAAGTGTTAAATTTATAATTTTTAGAAGCAATGATTTATTACAGGTTTGCTTACATAACTGTTTAAGAATCATTTGTTGTGTAGTTCAGTTGCTGTGAATTGATGTCATGTTACTCAAACCTTCTGAATTTTTCTTGGTATTTTAAGTGAGTATCATTACATCATAATGTCTCATAGTTTAAAGAAAGTTTTAGGCCTCAATTGGGCAATATGTATATAGGCAACAAAGTTAGTGCAAGTAAGTAAGTTAGTAAAAGGAAGTCAAAGTTAGTGAGATGTATAATCAAATAGATCTAGACTGTGTTTGTAAGTTTAGCCATAAAGAGTGCATAGTGGTGACTTTCCAAGTGTAATAATCACAGATTGTGTTGTAACAATTCATCTTGTCAATTGTGTTCTAAAATAACTGAACCAGCCTGTATTAACATTTGATGCAAAAGAGAATTATTCACAGCTCTGGATACAACTGTGGTAACCAGTGAATTCATCACTGATTGTATTGTGATAATAGAGTAGAGGAGAATAATCTGTCTTGTGAAAGGGTGTTCTAAAATAATTGAACCCACCTGTGTGGACTTTGTTAAAAAAAGAGAGAGACAATTATTTAAAGCTCTGGATACAACTGTGATAATCAATAATGTAACAAATAGTGTTGTTGTTTTTGGGCTTAGGATTCTTCTGCAGTAGGTGTCTGTGACTTGTTGACAATAAATTCAATGATAAGTGAACAGTATGCACTTGTTTTTCCACAAATAATCAAGATAATATTTAAAGTTTTCTTTTAAAATAATGTTTAATACATTTATCTCTTTGGCTGTGCTAAACATCTCTTAGTCCTTCAATATTAATTTCATATTTCCCTACATTTCTACCATGAATTTAAAGCCGTCATCCAAATTTAAAGAATTTGATGATACAAGTGTTTAATAACTAACAAATATACAAAAACTTGATGAAAACCACAAAGAGTTGGGAAAACTTTCAACAGTAACCCTCCTGATGAGAAGAATCTGTAAATAATAATTTGCTAGACTTTTCTGTACTAATACTAACCAGCCAGACATGATAACCAATTTGTATTTTTTTTACCAACTTGTATATCTATTTATACATCACTATAATTCTGGCCTTTCATATCTTAAAATAAAGTTGAATGAAAGGTTTCATACTAACAGTAAGATGGCCTATTTACATCTCTGCGGGATCGTACAGTATCACAATACATGTCTGCTTTAGATGACGTAGAAGGACCACAAAGCATGGTTAAACTGGCAGTTGATACAGTCATTTCCATGGAGTTATGGGTAGAATCTGGATGGTTTTCATTGCTCATTGTTGGAATTTCTTCAATGCATACTGTATTACTACTTCCTTCAGAAACTGTGGCAAAAATCTTAAGCTATAGAAATGCCAAGCACTCTAAATAATAACAACAAAAGAAAGATTGATAATGTATTCCTACAAGTAAAATAAAACATAATTTTTAATGGATAAATAACATGAATTGAAATTTTTATTAATACTGTGGATATAGATTTTTTTTCTCTATGCAATACCTCAATGAAACTAAAACAGCTATGTTGGTGCAAATTTCCTACAATATAGATTTGACATGTTTGGATTTATAAAAGCTATTTGTGATAAAAACACTTTCATCAATTAGGAATAATATATTATGGCTTTTTGACAAAATTACTATATAATACTGCTTGACAATTATCTTAGTCACTTGTTTACTCTCTGGATTTGTGCATGTTTTTATTCATTACATCTTATAGTCACCAAAAGTGCCTTGAATCTTTAACAGAATTTATAATACAAAAAAAAAAAAACAGTTTCAGTAACACAGACTTATCTATTGCAGTTATACGATGTAAAAAATTTATATTTCATCAAAATATAAAATTTTGTTTAGAATAGATACCAAAAAAATAAAATAAAGCATAGCTATACATTTTTCACATTAATTAAACATAAAGTATACAGTTTATAATTTTCAGAATGCACTATAAGCCAAAGATGAGGGTAGAAGCCTATAAAATGGTTAGTACACACGTGACAGTTAATAATACAGAGTTGAGTGCATTATATTTTTATGACAACGGAAATCACGTGACGCTGGTAACACGTGATGAGATTGTCGAATAATCCTCAATTGTCCTGTCAACTCTAGTCTGTTCCAGATGCCCTCTTTTTAGTATACAAGCCCGGCAAATAAAGCGGAGAGGGGAATTGCATAGATAGAGATAATCGAGTCAAGCCGTAAGTAAAGTGCGTGAATCCCTGTGAATTATAGCATGTTTTTTTATAAAAGTAGTTAAGTTAAACTGACTGTGGAAATTCTGTGTATTATAAAGTTGTATCGAGAAAGAATAAACTAGTTTTAGTTAAGAAAGGACTTGTCTCGCTGAAGTTCCTCGATAACAATTTATACTGGAAATTAACAAACAAGCAGAGATGCAACAAACTGGTGTCAAAAGTGGGATGGAAAAAAAAAAAGAAGAACATGGAAACGAGAGGTGGCAAATCAAACTACAGCTTAGCAGATTTGATGGCAGCAATACAAGAACAGCAAAAGAAACAAGAAGAACGAGAAAATAAATAAGTAGAACGAGATAAGAAACAAGAAGAGAGATTACAACAGTGGCAGCTCGAACAGCAAAATAAACATGAGAGACTACAACAGTGGTTGGAGGAGAAAGAAAATAAACAAGAAGAGAGATTACAGCAGTGGCAACTGGAACAATAAAGGAAACAGAAAGAAAGTCTCCAACAGTTACAGCAAAATCAACAACAGTGGCAAGAAGTACAAATGGAAAACATTAGTAAATTTCAAAGTGAATTAAATATATTAAAGGATGATTTACTGTCTTTTACACATGGAGGATATATTAGCCATGGACCTAATCAGTCTCAGACAACATGAAGCCCCTTCCAGACCCTGCAGCTAAACCCTAATACAGACATCTTCAGTTCTGCCAGAAGTCACATTCCAGGCATGAGTGTCAGCAATAGGGGAGATCTAGTATGAAGGAAGCCACAGGAATTCGATGGGAAGCATATAGAGCACAATTTGAGCTACTGACAGAAATGAAAGGATGGACAAAGGAGCAGAAAGCAGTGTACCTGGCAACGAGCCTAAAGGGACAACCACTGGAAATACTTGGACAGTTGTCAGCAGAGGACAGGCACAACTATAGAGCACTAGTAGCTGCTCTAGAACTCAGGTATGGAACCCAAAATCAGTCTGAAGTCTACAGGGCTAGGTGTAGGACTAGAGTCTGTGCTAAAGGGGAGAGCCTGCAAGAGCTGGCACGGGACTTGGAAAGTATGGCACACAAGGCCTACTTAACTGCACCACCAATGTCCTCAAGCTGTTGCTGAGGGATCAATTTGTAGATGCTTTGGACAGTCCAAGTAAAGCAAGCACACCCCTCTACTATACAAGATGCAATGGCCAGAGCTCTTGATTTTGATTCCTACGTTAAGTCCAGCACAGAGGTAACAAGGTTGGTACAGTCGTCAGGATTTAAGGCCAGAAAAGGGTAGCTTTCAGAGAAGTTTAAGGGACTTTGCTGGCACTCTAACAAACCTGGGCACAAGAAAGCTCAATGCCAGCAACTTCAACACAGGGAAGATGCCACGGCAGGAAAGCCTGCTACCCAGAAAGGTTGTTGGAACTGTGGAGAGCAAGGACATATGAGGAGCCAGTGTAAGAAGAATACTACCAACAAGTCAGCCTCAGGAAAACAAGTAGTGGTTGGTGTTGAGAGATGCCTACCTCCCCCCATCATGAAAGTCCCAACAGCTAAGTGTAAAATGCCAAGCACACATAGTGTCTACATGACAGGAAAGCTAGATGGCCAAGTATGCAACTTTGTCATAGATTCTGCATCTCAGCAAAACCTTGTGAGTATCAAGGTGTTAGATCATAAGGGAGTACCAGAAAACATACAGAAGCTTTGTGGTGTAACAGGACATTATGCATTAGGCATGATGCTGGTAACATGTGATGAGATTCTCGAATGATCCTGAATTGTCCTGGTAACTCTACTCTGTTCCAGACGCCCTCTTTTTTAGTATATAAGCCCGGCAAATAAAGCGAGAGGGGAAATGCATAGATAGTAAGATTGAAGATAGAGATAACTGAGTCAAGGCATAAGTAAAGTGTGTGAATTCCTGTGAATTATAGCATGTTTTTTTTTATAAACGTAGTTAAGTTAAACTGACTGTGGAAATTCTGTGTATTATAAAGTTGTATC